GTGTGTGTGTGTGTGTGTGTGTGTCGGTGCGTCCCGACTCAATCGAAGCTGGGCGGCGCTGCTCCAGGCGGAAGGTTGCTCGTCCGGCTGCCAGTCGCTGGCGATGTCGCCGTAGAAGGTGATGTGGCCGCGTTGGGCATCTGCGAGCGACGCGCACCGCGCTGGACCTGACGCACACCCTGTGCATTTGCTACGGGACCATCGTCGACCAGGCTGAATCCGCGCGTCGAGGGACGGCTCTGCAGGGCCGCCGAGGGAGCAAAGGGCTGCTGCGCTGCGCTTGGCGACATCGAGACATCCGACTCGGGCTCGGCCGTATAGGCCTGCATCGGGTACGCCGACTCGCTCACCGCCGGGTAGCGCTGCTCGGTCGAGACGTTGCCGTGGCGCACCGCCTCGTCTGCGCCCACGTACCGACGCGGCTCGGGATCGGGCGAGCTCGACGTCGATCCGATCATCGGTCGCTTCTCGTCGTCGGCGATGTCCGTGTGGGGGTAGGCCTCGTAGACACCCGCACTCGGCGCCGTCGGAAGTCTAGCGGCGCTGTGCTGCGTAGGCGAGAAGGCGTGCACGCTGCCGAGCGCCGGGTGCGTTGAGTTGTGCGGCAGGTTCGACGGCGAAGTGGCGCGCGGTCGCGGCACCACCACCGTGCCTGGTGGCGAAGCACCCGATCGCTGCTTGGCGTCGGTCGCCAGCGGTGCCGGCAGCTCGAGCAGCGGCACCGAATCCAGCCGCGCCCGCGCACCCGAGGCGCTCTTGGCGTGCGACATCTCCGAGGCGTCGGGCGCGAACTGCGATGCGCTCGACGACGACGGGTTGGGCAGCGCGCGGCCAAACTGGTCGTGCTGGCCCGACGGGTTCGAGTGGAACGTGTCCGACGACACGACCGAGTAGCGCGTGCTGCCGGACCTCTCGGGCGAGCCGGTGCGCTGCACCACATCGTACGTCGAATCACGCGAGTGCGTGCCCGACTTCCAGCGTCGCTCGCGCTCGAACTCGGCCCAGCGCTTCATGACAATGTGCGAGGGGTCAAACTTGCCGTCGGCGTCGCCGTGGTTGTCCTTCTTGTTCTCGCCTTGCACGACACGCGTCGCGCCCCACGAAAAGTCGTCCATGTGCCAGTAGGCGTACAGCGGCAGCACAAAGTTCCAGATCGGCAGCGAGAGCAGGTAGATGAGCATCCAGCCCACGTAGGCGATCTTGCGCGACGTCACGACGATCAGGATACCAGGCAGACCCAGAATGAGGGCGAGCAGGATGAGAGGGATCGTCGGCGTCGGCACGTTGGGCAGGAAGGCTTGCACCACGACGTAGAGCGTAAACGCGATGGCGGCCGGCAGCACCAGCGTACCCGTCAGCTCCATGAACACGACGAAGCGCATCGAGAAGCAGAAGGTACCGCAGAGATCGTTGACCATGACCAGCTCGAACAGGTTGTGCACGGTCGAGTTGATCCATCGACGACGCTGCGAGAGCAGGATGCGGAACGTGTCGGGCACGATCGTCTTGCACACCGCCTGAGGCACGAACATCATCTTTCGCTTTGGGAACGTCTTGAGCATGAGCGTCGTCAGGTAGCGGTCCTCGCCGAGCAGAAGCAGGTTCTTCTTGTGCAGCGTGTCCACCACGTTCTCCGAGTAGTGCTCCACAATGTCCGGGTTGGCCAGGATGGGCACCCAGTAGCCGTGCGGGCCCTTGGGCGCCTTGATCCGGTACGCGCTGAAGCAGCCGGGCAGACACGTGACACCGCCGAAGCACGCCTCGAAGGCCTTGGTCTGATGGTGCGAAATGTAGTACTCGAAGACCTGGATCATGGTCACCCAGGTCTCGGACTTGTTGGCGATCTTGGTCTCACCGCAGAGACCCATGATCTCCGGGTCCTCAACCATGCACGCGACCATGCGCGAAAGCGAGTCGGGGAAGACCTTGGTGTCGGCGTCGACGCACAGGACGACCTCGTAGTTGTCGGGTGAAACGCCTGTGACGCGCCAGATGCTGTTGAAAAACTCGTACTCGAACGCCGTCATGCGCTCGTCAAACATGACCTTTTGCATGAAGGCCATGAGCAGCACCTGCGAGTCGCGCTTGCCACGGTTGCCTGGCTTGGCGCTGTCGGCCTCGAGCGGAGTGCCGCACTTGGCGACCAGGATCATGGGGACGCGCTGCTGCTTGGAGCGCTCGACGGTCTCGTCGTCATAGTCGTAGAAGCCGGCGTAGATCTTGCACATGTTGTGACGCTTGTAGCCGTCGGCGATGGCGACGTACGAGTTGCCCTCGACCTCCTCGGCAGGGATGACGAGGTCCTTCATCATGGAAAGACAGATGTCGGGCGTGGAGATGTCCGAGCCAGCGCCCTTGACGATACCATCGGCGATGACAAGGAGCAGCTTGTGGCTGTTGGGGTAGTCGGTCGTGGCGAGACTGTCGAGCGTAGTGCGCAGGCCCTCGAAGGACTCGGAGTAGGCGGTGACGAGGCAGATCGAGTGAGCGAGCTGGAAGCCGAAAGGTCGGTAGTCGGGTCCAGGCTGAGGAACAATGTTGTGCAGAGGGAAGGGGCAGACGCCCATGGCGCCTTCGCCAGGGCTGCCAGAGAGCGACGAACGGCGCGAGTGGTCGCCCTTGGGCGCCAACGAGGCGGAGCTTCGGCCTCCGGCGACCGAAGGCGAACCAGGCGGCGAGCCGCCCAGAGGCGAGGCGACACCAAGACGGCCAGCACGGGTCATGCGCTTCTCGCTGAGCGGCATGGGAGCGCGCGAGCCGCTCTTGAGGCTGAGCGGATCGGCGACCGAGAATCGACTCTGGGTGGGCAGGAACGACTTGTGCTTGCGCGCGTTGGGACGGTATCCGGCCGGGGCAGGACGGTAGATGTCGTCGGACCACTGCTCGATCTCGGCGGCACGCTTCATGCGCTGCTCGTACGTCTCGTTGGCGTAGTTGCCGAGGCGCCACGAGAGGAACCAGCCGAAGAGGACGGCCATGAAGAACTTGATGGCGACAACGCCAATGATGAAGACGAGCGAGAGGTAGAGCTCCACCTTGGAGGCGACGCAGCCGATGGTCTCGGAGTCGATGAAGCCGATGCGGGTGATCTGTTCGAGGCAGGCAAACTCGTTGTCGAGGCGCTGGCGCATGACGGCCGAGGTGACGTCGCGGCCGGCCCACTCGTCGTTGCGGCGCTTGAGCGTGTCAAAGAGCGCCGGGTAGGCGAGCGTGTTGGTGAGGTTGTTGAGACGGTTGAGATCGAGGACGGCACCGCGGAAGACGGCGAGGTTGCGCGTAGTGTCGGTGACGTTGTTCCAGTTGAGCGAGACCTGGCCACGCTTGCGGAGGACGCGGTTGGCAGGCACGCCGCCGTCGTTAAACTGGTTGACGATGGAGCCGGTGTGGCACATGGGCGTCGTGTTGTTGGCGTATCCGCCCTTGCCGTCCTGGCGCACGAGGGTGCAGTCAAAGTAACGCTCGGGCTGACCGCCGCCGGCGCGGTTGGTGATGAGGCTGGAGCAGGCGGCGCCGATCTTTTGGAAGAGCAGACTGCCGTCCTGGCCACCCGAGGACCAGGGCTCCGAGTAGATGGGGTTGGTGCGGTTGTAGATCGTGTCGGCACCAAAGGGGCCCACCTGCGGGTGAATGAAGCCGTCAAAGCTGTAGTCGTATCCGTTAAAGGTCATGGAGCCAACGTCGATGGTGCCGAGGGTGTAGCGGTCGGGCGGGGTGCCGCAGACGGTCTGGGTGAAGCCGAAAGTGAGGAAGCCGACGGCGGACATGATGAGGGTGATGATGCCAATGAGGCCCATCTTCTCACGCCAGGCGCGCTGCTGCTCGGGGGTGCGGATGCCAAAGATGCGGAGGAACGGGCCTGGGCAGCAAATGGTGAGGACGTAGCAGTAGATCATCCATGCGCCGACGGGGCCGGGAGCGATGCGGGAGCTCTTGCCTTCGCCGAGGTCGCGAGGCACCTCCTTGGAGACTCGACCGGACTTGGACTGCTTGCGTCGGAGCGAGACGCCGCGCTTGAGCACGTTGATGCCGGTCTCGATCTGGTCCTCGTCTCTGCCGAGGATGGACTTGCCGCGACGGAGGGGAGGCGCGCGTCCGAGACCGCCGGGGGGCACGTTGGAAGGGCCGGTGACGCCGAGGCCGCTGAGGCCGCCTCCGGGACCGACGATGCCAGCCATTCCGGAGCCGTGCGGGGCGGCGCCGTGCTGAGGGAGGTGGCCGGTGGTGGAGGGCATGTAGCCCAATCGGCCGCCGGAGCCGGCAATGACGTCCATGTGTGCGGCATGGTTGCGGTAGTACCACTGGCGATGGTTGGGGTCCATGCGCTCGCGGTCGGGACGGACGAGCGACTTTTTGCGACGGAAGTTGGCATTCTGTGCCGAGAAGCCGGACTCGGGATCGAGGGTGTTGACCTGGTTGAGGGCAGTGGTGCTGCTGTTGGGGTCGTTGAGGCCGCGCTTGTCGTCGCCGTACGACTTGACCGACTCGCGCGAAGGACCGGAGCGCTGAGCGGGGATGCGCTGTGGCTCTTGGAACGAGATGCCGGCGGGGCGAGGAGGGCCGTTGGGGTTGAGATACGCCTGGTGGCTGCCTCCGGGCGCCATGTTGCTGTTTGGAGGCAATGCGGCGCCAGCATCAAGCGGAGGCGAGAAGAAGGGAGGTTGCTGCGAGCGCGGCGGAGGGAATTGGGGGTGATGTTGGTGTTGCGGCGGGTGTTGTGCGAGATAACCGGGCTGGGGGTGATGTTGGAGTGGTTGTTGTGGATGGAAGGGCGGTGGTGGGGATCGCGCGCCGCCTGGGATGGTGAGGGGAGGCAGTGAAGGAGGGCCGTCGTTGCGGCCTTGCCTTGCCGGGCTGCTGTCTGCAGCGGATTCGAAAGGGTTCATGGTGAAGCCAAGGAGGACGGGCGAGCGTTGTGGCTAGTCTTGGAGAGAGAGGAGGTGCGAAGAGGTGGAAGACGAGAGCAGTCTATAGCGCACGGCGGGACATCAAGTCGAATCTGGAGATGGCTGCCACGCGGTGGTGCGGGTGTTTGGGGTCGTTGACGCCTCTCTGTGTGGAAGAGAAGCGAGTGTTTGCGGGCCAGTGAGCAAGCCGATGGAGCCAGGTGGGGAATGGCTAGCCAGCTTGGTGGCGCGGTTGATCAGACGTCTGCCAGTCGGTGTTGTGAGAAGAGGCGGAGCAGCGCACAAGGCCGTGGTGAAGACGAGGCCGACGCAGCGAGCGTGCTAGCGTGCGTGCGTGTGTGCGTGCGTGGTGTTCCGAAGAGACGGGAGAACGGCCTCGCGGTTGGTGGTGGTGGAGGGACTGGCCAACGCCGATGGTTCGAACGGGGGGAAGGCGGCAGGAGAGAAGCAAGGTCGTGAGGAAGGTACAAACGGGGATAGGGACAAGTTAGCGGGCTGGGCTGGGCTGGGCTGGACGGAGTGGAGCGGACGAGGCTGGCTGGCTGTCAAGTCCGATTGTGCCTGTCTGTGGTCGTCAGCGCAGGTTGGAGGGGAAGACCGGGGTCTAGGAGGCAGGGAGAGGGCGAGAGAGTGAGAGAGAGAGGGAAGCCAAACCTTGCGGGCAGCACCGAGCGAGCGAGCAAGCGGGCGAGGATGGCGAGACAGGCAAGGGAGCGAGGCAGGAAGTGGAAGGGAGAAAGAGGACGTAGGGAGGCATCCGACAGCCACACCAGCAACAGCCAAGCGCCAAACTCCTCGCCGGTTGGCGAACGTATGCAAAAACACGGCAGTCTGGATGGATCGAGGAATCAGCAACGCTGCCGCCGCTGCAGCTGCACCGCCAGCTACAGCAACGCAACAGCCACAGCAACTGCCAACGCGCACGCATAGCCGACGCACCGCCCGACACCAAAAAAAAA